CCAGGTTTTTAGAGTTTTGGAAATTAATTCCCCCACATCCCTAACATTGGAAAGCTGGTTTTGGAGAATTTTTGGGGACTTCAATTTTGTTTCTGGAACATTGGAAAAGGCAAATAATCTTGACGTGATTCTTGTACCTAGATCAGCTATTTCAATGTACAAAATTTGTTTCAACAGGGGTGAATACTCCTCAGAGTAAAGGGGAGTCAGAAAAAATTGATTTTTGAATGAATGCAAGCTATGTCCCTTGTGCACAACTCAACTTGCATATGAGCAACTTGTGTAAACCCTTGTTGAATGTGAATTTCTGTTTGTTCCTTTCAAGGTTAATGGGGAAATAACTTATGAAATGGGATATTAATCATGCTGTTCATTCATGGTACATCAGTATCATCTGAGAGGGAGATTTTTGTCCAACTGAGATTCATTCCTCCACATCCCTAACATGTGACCAGGACCGGGGCGGATAATTCCTTTTTCATCCCTAACATAGCAAAAATTGAAGGGTCTGATTCATTCCTTTTTCATCCCTAGGGTTTATAGGACTTATCCGGGGTCCTAGTGGTAGTATCTCATTTTGTAATAGGCAAGTATGATGCATTTGTAGTGCTCCAAAGTTTTTCCCTTTACATAGAACAAATTCTTTCAAAATTGTCATCGACAGATGTGATAGGAAGAAGAAGTCGAGTTTAACCAAGAACGATTAAAAGATGAAATCGAATGAGTACAAGGATCGAGAAGGATGTGTTGACTTAGATGATGATGGTGGACAGAAAGTTTGACCATAGGTGATGGTAAGAAGTTTGATTGTGAATGAAAATGAGATGTAGGAATCGATTGAAAGGTTGAGTGTGTACTTGCACTTGATGGTGAATTGGTTGAAGTCTGTGAACTTACAAAGTTGAGAGGGTGACGGTTGAACTTGAAGAGATGATTGGGTATGGTGAAGGAGGGTGTATGGTGACAAAAGAGAGGTTGATCGAAAAGGAAGGGTGAAAAGGTGATAAAGAGAGAAGGGTATGGAAAAGAAAGAGGGGCAAAAAGAGTTTTTTGGTCTGATATACGGCCAAAAGGCTGTATATTCAAATCGACCAGTATATCGTGTTATACGATTTGGTTTCTTGTCCAAATAAATTGTCCGAACACCACTGTTTTTTTCGAGATTCGATATATGTATATCGTGATATACTGTATACAGTCGGTTCTCGATGTAAGCATATCAATGGTTGACAAAAACTCCTTGCATATATCGCGCGATGCATACTCGCAAAATAGGCATAATATGCATATTTCTTCCCAAAACAAGACAATGATGTCTATATGCTGATTTCCTCACAAAATAAGCAGAATTTGTTGATTTCTCCCTTGAACAGTACAAGACTCATTGGGCTAGTTACAACAAGTTAAAAAACATATGACTCGCTGAACAGATGATAAGATTTGATGATCGTCTTGGATGAGATCATCAAAAGCGAGAAAAAAAGAGGCGATTACACTAGAACGAGAAACAACACATCAGCACAACATCAGACAGAACATGAAGGGTCAAAAGTACATACCTGATGATTTGAAAAAACTATCAAGACTAGTTTGCTTCAATGATGAGAATTGAACATGGCTGAGATCCGCAGACATCTTCTCTAAAGCATGAACATGCGGCCCCCAGTTAGGTTCATCCTCGTCCAGTTCGTGATCCGGTCAACACTCCATAGCGTATGTGATCTCCTCAATCGCCTTCCTCATCTGAGTCAATGTGAATGGAACACGTTCAACTTCAACTTCAACTTCTGAATCATCTGCATCAATGATTGGTGATTCATCTGCTTTGGCACCCAAAGTGCTTTGAATGATGTCTTCATTTGTGGGCATTGAAATTTCCATCTCAGGATTTTGATTCTCGATTGAAGGATTTAAAAGTTCATTGATACTGATGCGGAAACCAGGACGTGATTCGGGCAATCCTGGACAGCGATCGAGGTTCTGAAGCTCTTGGGAAAGATCTGAGATTGCCATCTGAAGGCCTGGATCGGCTGTGTATTGACATTGACGGTGATTTTCAGAGTTACTGGGAGTATCGGAGTTGTTGTCAGATTCATCATGAGTCTTGGATTCGTTACAAAAGTTGGGATTGTGATCAAGTCGGAAATCTGTGATGATGCCAGTGTGTTTGAAACAGTTCTTAATGGTGTCAGCTGATACTTTCTTCCAAGCTCGCGATGCCATTTGCATCGCTTCCAGGATGTTGATGTTGTATATCTTATCGGCATTCCAATCGGGATGTTGTTCATACTTCAGTATAGACTTTGAAATGAAATCTTGACGATAATATGCTTTGAAAGCAGTGATGATGCCAGCATCGCATGGCTGTAAGACACTTGAAGTGTTTGGAGGTAGGAACTTGATTGTAATGTGAGAAAGGTTGAGAGCCTTGGCCGCAGAGGTGTGTCCAGAGAAGTTATCTAAGAGGAGAAGGATCTTCCGGTCCTGAAGGCGCATGCGTGAGTTGAGGGACGAGAGCCAGTCGCCAAATATGATTGCTGTCATCCAGGCCTTTTTGTTGAATGTGTAATCAAAACCCCAGTATGAAGCGTCGTGACGGCCAAAGGGCCGAGGCTTTGCTGAATGCCCAATTATCAAGGGAGGAAGTTTGTCGCTTCCATCAGCATTAGCACCAAGTAGGTAAGTGATACGAATCTTGGAGCCCTTTATTCCTGCGTGGTCCATGCTAGAGAGAGTTTTGTTGGGAGGCATCCTAGAATTTAAAAGAGTCAAAACTATCTAGATAATGAAATGGAACTCGATTTAAAAAGGATTGCTAACTTGTAGATCAGTCCTGTCTCATCAGCGTTGTATATCTCAGAAGGTTTGAACTTTTTAGTAAGCTCTAGCAACTCCTCGCGACCTTCTCCAACAGTAGCATAGTCGACTGAGGCCGCCTCTCCGTGAAGAACTCGAGTGCAAATGTTGTGACGATTCTTAAAATTTGTAAGCCAACCATCTGAGTAGCGCATTTCAACCCCAAGGATATTACCGAACTCCTCAGCTTTTTTACGTAGGGTGTCACCGTTGAAAACCATGTTGCGAGCATGTGCTTTGATGATCCAATGAGCCAGGGCCTCTTCAAGAGCAGGAAACTTTGCTGGTCGTTGACGCTTGACATCGGGACCGTTCATTTGAATCGATGATGTGATCTTCTTTGAGTCCCTCATCCATCGGCTCAGAGATGATTGCTGGATGTTGAAGTGCTTTGCTGTTTCGGCTTGAGTTTTCCCATTGTTGATGTGCCATGCTAAAATCTCACACTTATCTTTCAAATCCTTGACTTCACGAGTGCCCTTTAACTTCTTCTGAGGCTGATTTTCTGACCTTTTGGACTTTTTCTTTGGTGGTTTTTCAACCACTTCAACTGATTGCGAGTCGGAATCCACCTCATTGCTGGCTTTTCCACCGTTTCCGTGTTTAACATAGGCGTCAATACGTGTAACATTCTTTGTGATCTCATCTTGCACTGAAATTTAGTACATATACATCAACAAGGTATACAAAATATAGGTACGAGAAACTGGATTCACCTTTCTTGTTACGTTTCTTTGTCTTACCTGCAACTGAAGTCCGAATAGAAGCATTAATGGGAATTTTCGCGCCAGAATCTGTGAAGAACAAAAGGAGTCTAAGAAGTAGAAAAAATCTTAAAGCCCAAAAGAGAATCAAACTCACCATTAAGCATGGTTTTTATCTTCTCGAGCTTGCTTTTAATTATCCCCTTAATGTTGTCATCACAGTTTGGCAATTTGTTCACCTTTCCCACATAATAAAGAGCCTTCTGAAGTCCATAAGAGCCGCCAAGTATAAATTTTTTACCCACATCAATTCCAAATGCATTATCAAGCTTTGTATTGGTGTCCATTGTCAATTCATCGGTGTCTAAGCTGGGATCAGGTGAGTTTCCAAACCACGTATTGAGTTTACCATCCGCTGATGCAATATAAATTGTAGGACAGTTTTGTGAAAGGAGAAGAATATCACTGATAAGTTCAGATATTGAAGACATGGTAGGTGAGGCTGGGCGTGTTGGTCTGGAGCAAAAAAAAATGTTGATGAAGGTCTCACAACAGATGGGAGTGGGCTTCTGTCAGCTTGATTTAAGCATATTATGCTTCCGCAGCCCAGAATTTCCAAAATATGCTCATATGCAGTGTGATTGGCTCTTGTTGTAAGCATATTTCACGAATTTTGATGATTTCTAATGTTTTAACCATTATGCATCAAGGGTTTTGGTTTTGGCAGGGAGCGCACGTATACCAAAAAAAATCCCCAAAAACCCTATGCTTGTAGCGAGATATGCTTACTTCGAACTTGCTTACATCAAGAACCGACTGTATTGGTTTGGTGTAGTATATCACGATATACGTATATTGAATCGTACCGAACGGGCCCTTAGAGCATCCACTATTGTTACAGTAAAATTTCAGTAAATTTTACAGTACAGTTTTCACAGTACAGTAAATTTAGGTACAGAAAGGTGGAAATCCACTATCGTTTCAGTAATATCGTTCTGTACGGTACGTACCGTACAGAAATGACCCTGCCCCACAATCATAGAGAATTGTACGTTCAGTAAATAATCTGCAAGCTATCGACCTTGGCTCAGAAACATGGATAGTCTCAAAGTATCTAGATTTGAGAGATGCTGAGATCCATCATGGTCTGATGAATGACCTCAAGAATCCATCATTGTCTGATGGACAATTGTACAACAACAAGGACAATCAAAAAAATCAAAAAAATAGCACAAGATGTTCATTTGATGAAGTCGCTTTGATTTGATCAAGTCGATTATTGAGAAGATTGGTTGAAATGGTTAATTGACAAGAAGGCAAGAAATTTGATCGATGAGAAGATGAAAGAGTTGATCGATGAGAGGGTGATAGAGATTGAAGGATAGTAGAGGGTGATTTTGGGAAGGTGGTGATGAATCCCTATGTAGAATCGGTAGATTTGGTGGATACCGATTCTGTACAGATTCTGTAGAGGTGCAGTAGATTTAGAGCATCCGCTATCGTCTCGGTAAATGGCCTCGGTACGGTAAATTTTACCGTACCGAGGCTCAAAATCCACAATCGTGTCAAAAACACGCATCAGTACCTACGGAATTGGTAGAAATTTGGTAGAGGTCAAGTAAATTTACTGGACCTCTACCGAATCGGTATCTGCAAATTTACTGGTCTGCTGAGCCAAACATCACACCACAACTCAAACATGAAAGTTTTCACTACACCTCTCCTCTCCTGCTCTTGATCATCATACACTACACTTTCCATCCAAGTCTCAACATAACTTTCAACATCCTATTTCGCTTTGTACTTATCATGTCTTGGTACTTTCATTTTTTTCAAATCCTTTGTCTCCGTTTTCAAAACTTTTGTTTTTGGATCATTTGTTTTGAAATCATATTTTCACATTGTTTGTTCTAAACTCAACTGTTTTCAAGTCGATTGCTATCGAGTTGATAGTCTTTAGGTTAGTTTTTAGATCAATAGCTTTTAGATTGATAGCTTTTACAACGATCAATGAGAAACAACAAAGTCTACTCGATGACTTGAAATTTGCAGTTTTTGCAGAAGGACCTGACGCACAATAACGGGACATAGTCTTTTCTGTACGGTAATACCGTACAGATGGTATTTACTGAGACGATAGTGGATTTCCACTAATCTGTATCTAAAGATACTGTAAGTACACAGTATGTACTGCTAATTTACTGAAATTTTACTGAACAATAGCTGATGCTCTTACTGGACCTCTACAGATTTTTGACCGAATCTGTAGCTACCGATCTGTACTTTGTACACGATTGGGGATTTTTGGCCTCGGTACGGTAAATTTCAGTCAAATTTACAGTACCAAGGCTGTTTACAGCAACGATGGTGGATGCTCTTAGCTTTCATATTTCATCACATGCCTCAGGTTGTGGGCGCGGCGCAAAAAACGCGCTTGGGCGCGCCGAGGCGCACTTTTTTTTTCAGAAATGGGGGTAGGCGCGCCTTTTTGGGGGTGCATACAAGATGGCATATATACTGCAACTTCCCACTTACCAATTGCGATCAGCCCTCCATCATATCCCAGGAGAAAGTCACAATGCCAAAAGACAAACGATTGAAGCCAAAGCACTCAAAACCTACAAGTTCATCAAAAAAATACACATGGATTCCAGCGGCAAACAATTGCACTATACGATGGACAGGCTTCGAGATGTCTGAAGAACGTGATTCAACCGCGGCACGACGGATGGCCCGATGCAAATATTGTCAGAAGATAATGCACGGGAAGCCTTCCTATCTTCAGGCCCATATGACCACTGAATGCAAATCAGACCAACCAACAACATTCCAATCAACCATTCATCGGTATCTTATCATTCGATCGAGATTGAAGCCAATAAACCCTCGAACCATCACCATATGCCTCAGAAACGTCCACCGGACACCGACGCAGGTGATCCGGATCACCCTCCCCCAAAAAATCCTGCCTTTCGATCGGACGAAACGGATTCGATGATGAGCGAACTCAGGTCACTATCATCGACAAACCCTCAAGCGAACGACGTCCTTCTTCAAATTGTTATCAAAATGATGGACAGCATGTCCAAAATGTTCAACGCCACGATCAACGAACTCAGAGAAGAGATTCGCCAACTCAAAGCGGAAAAGGTTACGCCGGTGCAACTACAACCGCAACCTATACTACAACCAGGACGGATCCAATTACCTGCGAAACCAAAAGCTTGGACAAACCCGTACCCTAAAAACGACACGAATACTAATCAGACACCGAAAGCTCCACCCAAAAATGTCGAAATCAATGAATTCAAGTCGGCAACTCTCATCATGCACAAGAACTCAGAAGCTGAACCTTTCAAAGGTATGACAAACATCACGATTGTAGAGAAAATAAACTCAGCCTTAGAATCACTCAACGCAAAAATCAACGATAAACCAGTCAAGATTCAAAGTGCAGCAATCTTAAAATCGGGCGACATTATAATGACCATGGAAAATAGATTCATCAAAAAATGGCTACTAGAGAACAAACACCGATGGACTAAACTAGCCCACAAGGACTTCGAAACAACCCAAACCCGATACCCGATTCTCTTCAATTATGTTCCTGCTGAATTCAAAATAGGAGACAAAGAATTCATCATCAAACTAAGCGAACAAAACAACATCCCACTCGAATCTATTCACTCAGCAAAATGGATCAAGAACCCGGAAGACACCAAGAAACAACATGGCACAATAGTAATCAACTTCTTAGATAAAGCTCTTGCACATAAAATTGAAAAAGGTGGAGGTATAAATGTAGACTGCACGAGGCTTAGAAGCAAAACATATATCCAAGGCCCAACAATGTGTTTTAATTGTCTAGATATTAATCATGTACAATCAAATTGCAAATTCATGGCTCACTGCTTAAAATGTGGTGATTCCCATAACACTAAGGATTGTGCTAACAATGATATTAGCCAAACCTGTGCCCGCTGCGTGAAATTTGATTCAACCAGAACTAACTCCCAAATTGACCGTTTCCTCCCCAAATATGCTCACTCCCCAAAAAGCTTACAGTGCCCTCTCCGCAAGACACAATTCCAAATTCCCCACCAAATAATTATCAACGATGAATCATAATACCCATCAAGAAAACCCAAACAGTCCCCCCCCCGAGCCACCAAATACTTTTATCGACGACAACTCACTCGATGAAAATTACTCAGACACACCCCTCAACCTCGAAAAAATTTCCGTCCTCCACTTCAACTGCCAAAAATCCCCAGACATTACTCACGAAGCGTTAACACAAACTCAATACACAATACTCTCATTACAAGAACCTTGGTTCAACGTCCACACCCGCTCCTTTCCCAATCACCGGGCCTGGCATAGTATTATGCAGTACGACTATTTCCCGACGTCATGGGAAGACAGACCACGTACTTGCATATATATATCAAAGCTCATCCCCACCAACCAAATTACAGTACTTCCAAGCGGGTCCGATATCATCCTTAGCGTAGAAATCAAAGATCCAGAAAATCACCGCAACAAAATCAGAATCATCTCATGGTATAACCCGCCAAGCTCGATGAGAGGCATGGCCATGCTGGAAAGATGGCTACGCCTCCACCATGACAGACGGACACCCACCATCATCACGACCGACTCCAACCTCCACCACCAATTGTGGAACCCCCCAGGCTACACCCGAAGCGACACTCTAGCTAAGAAACTTATCCATCTATGCGGCAACTCAGGCCTCTCACTCACTTCCCCAAAGGGCATTCCTACCCGATTCTCAAAAGGAACTAAACCAACGACAATCGACTTGATCTGGTCAAGCTGGAATCTCAAGGATAAAATCATGAGCTGCAAGGTGGTCGAAAATGGACCAGTTTCTGATCATCTACCCGTAGCCACAACCCTCGATCTCTCTTTCATCCCCCCAATCACGTCACATATATCTGTGAAAGTAACTGACCTTAAAATTCCTCCCTTCCACGATAAAATTCTAGATTCGCTTTCTCTCCTCCCACCAGACTATGCTTCCTCAGACGACATAAACCAAGGTGTCAGCACACTAACAACAATTATCACAGACGCAGCAAACGCCCAAGGAAAAAAAGTCAAGACAAACCTTAAGAAGCACAAGGTCTGGTGGGATGCGGAGACCCTCAACCCAATCCTCAAAACCCGAAACCGTGCAAGAAGATGGATGTCCCTCACAAACCTTCCGGAAGCACACGAATGCTACACTAACTGGCAGCAATACTTCAAACAACAAGTCCTACGCGCCAAATTCAATCACTGGAAAAGATTCCTAGCGTCTTGCTCAGGTAACGAAACGTTCAAG